AGCCACCCAGGTGCCCCTTTAAGATTTTATTTTTAAGTAATCTCTACACCCGGTGTGGGGCTCAGACCCACGACCCCAAGATCAAGAGTCGCGAGCTCCACCGATGGAGCCAGCCAGGTGGCCCTGATTTAGGCGTTCAGAGGCTGGTCACATTCCTTCTTACTGCTCCTCCTGAAATGAGGCCACACTCACGACCCCCAGGGCCTTGTTCCGGGGGGCGCCTGGGTGCAGTACTCCGGGACCGGGGGGCTTACAACCTGTGTCTCTACCCCAGACGTCTGTGCCTTCTGCCACAAGACCGTGTCCCCCCGAGAGCTGGCCGTGGAAGCCATGAAGAGGCAATACCACGCCCGGTGCTTTACGTGCCGCACCTGTCGCCGCCAGTTGGCCGGGCAGAGCTTCTACCAGAAGGACGGGCGGCCCCTCTGTGAATCCTGCTACCAGGTAACCCCCCCCTGCGGCTAGGCCTCCAGGTACCAGGCGCTGTGCTGGGCACTTGGAAGGCGTCCCATTATTTCATTCCCCACAATCATCCTGGGAGGCAGGCACCACTGACCCACTTCACAGACGAGGAAGCTGAGGCTCAGAGAGAGGAAGGAGCTCAGCCAAGGTGTATTAGTTTCCTGTGGCCGCTCTAACAAATTACCGCAACCGTTGTTTGATGGCTTCAAACGACACTCATTTGTTCTCTTACGGTTCTGGAGGTCGGAAGTCCAAAGGCACGTCCGCACTCCTTCCAGAGGCTCTAGGGGAGAATCTGTTTCCTTACCTCTTCCCGCTTCTTCAGCTGCATCCCTTGCAGACTCTGATTTCTTTGCCCACCTTCAGAGCCAGCAGGGTGGCATCTTGCTTCAGCGTCCTGGTTCCTTCTTCGGCATCACATCTCCCTCTGCGTCCCCCTTACAGGGACCCTTGGGATGGCATTTAGGGCCCACCCAGGGTAATCCCCCCAAGTCAGGACCATGAACTCAATCACATCTGCCATCTCCTTTGCCCCTGAAAGTAGTCACAGGTTCCAGGGATTAGGACCTGTATGTCTTGGGGGCATTGACCCAGCCTGCCACACAAGGTCACCGTCCAGAAGGCGGTGGAGCCGGGATTCTCCCCCAGACCCATCTGGTTCTGGAGCCTGTCCGTGGTCTTCTATCTCACCTGAAGCCACAGGCTCCAGTGCACAGCCTTATGGGAATCTGTGTCACCTCTGGGTACCAAATGCGGTCTGGGAGAGCCAGTTTGGATGCCACGAAGTTAGAGTTGCTAACTCGCTGGTGTGTGGCATAAAGACCACTCACAGACACGTCACCTGGGTGTGTGCGGGCCTCACCTTGTTCTTGCGGGTGGGTAGCACCTGGCGATCTGCACTTTTAACAATCTCTCCGGTGATTCTGGTACACGTCGCAGTTTGAAAACTACTGGTTCAAGGAGGTAGACTATTTGGA